AATTCTTCATGGAACAGAAGCCTAGGACTGGTAAGTCCAGGAAATGCTACAGAACAATGCCCTCAAAAGAAATCAGCCTTTCTCCTTGATAGGCATCTCTCCTGCAGGCCAGGCTCAGATGCCCATCAATTAGAACCTGTGTTCACTGGGCCGTAATTAAGAATCTTACTCAAGCCTGTAATCCCAGCACTTTGGGAGGCTGAGGCGGGTGGATCACGAGGTCGAGAGATCGAGACCATCCTGGTCAACATTGTGAAACCGCGTCTCTACTAAAAATACAAAAAACTAGCTGGGCGTGGTGGCGCGTGCCTGTAATCCCAGCTACTTAGGAGGCTGAGGCAGGAGAATTGCCTGAGCCCAGGAGGCGGAGGTTGCGGTGAGCCGAGATCGCGCCATTGCACTCCAGCCTGGGTAACAAGAGCGAAACTCCGTCTCAAAAAAAAAAAAAAAAAGAATCTTAAAGGCAAAGAGTCTTTTGAAAGCCATCTGTCAAAATTATGCAGTCTTGCTTGTAGACTTTTAAAGAGGTTCATGGTTACTGTGGGTCGGCGCTGGGTCTGTGAGCCCTCATCCCCAGGGCAGGACTTCCTATCAGAATCCTTATCAGGGAGGTTGATTACACCAGATGCACATTTTGCCAGCATCCTCAGAAGGAGATACCTGGAAGATTCTTTCACCGGTCCACTCTCATTTTCTCAGGCTCGGACAAGTCTTAACAATGATCTGTGACCAAACTAAGAAGGCCCATGGGGACTGATTAACATGCAGGTCCCAGGACCCCTTTTTGTAGATCCTGATTCAGAATATCTGGGACGGGCTGGATATTCATATTTTTAATAAATTTTCTCATTTATTGTTTTTGTATATTATTTTCCATGCACAAAAGCACTGTGTAGAGAAATGGGAGCATGTTGGGAGTCTCAGGCCTGGATTAGTCCTAAAATAATTGAAAAGGAATTGATTCTTAATTACCCAGAACATCCAAGCTCTAGGACCGAGTGTGACCTCTTCCGCCTTCTGAACAGAGGCGTCCACCCCTAAGCCCAAGGAACTGAGTGTGAAGAGCCCTCACTCCATGAAGACTTGAATCACTTTAAATCAATTTGCCTCTTATTAAAATGTACTTCAGTAAAAAATCATTTCAATTCTTCAGCCACAAAAGGATATCCAATCATTTAAAGCTTCCTGAGTGTTTCGGTTGATTAAAAAGGTTTTAAAGAGCATAGTAAATATTTTACCAGAAGAATAAGTTATTCAATATGGAGATTATTTATTAAAAACTAGTAATTTATTAGTTCATTTATCTTTATTTTCATGTAAGTGCATTCTTTTAATCTAGGCATACTTTTTTCTACTACCTCAGCAGGTTAAACTGCCACTTGACAATTCTGTAATACATAAATGTATTTAAATAGAATTTAACTTGTGAAAATAACAAGATTTCACTAATAATGGGAAAGATAGCTATAAAATCACAGTTTAATTTGAACTTTCAGTGAGTTTTAAGCAGTTTCATGTACTTAAAAAGCAATCACATTTGCTGTTTTGAAAAAAGAACAAGATTCTCATTTATCATTTGGGTCACTGATCCTGAAGGAAGTAAGTAATGCATAACTTCTTTTACTTATAGGTGGAAAGAAAAGCATGTAATACATTAGCTCCAAATCGAACTGGCTTCAAGTACTTACAATTACATATTTTATTTCTATAATAAAAGCATTAGAATGTTTTCAACTGCAAGCAATGACTAAAAACGGTTTAAATCACGAGGATACTGAGTGATGTCACCCATGAGATGCCCAGAGGGGGCTGTGCTGTGGGAGACTTGTCACCTCTTCTGCCCACCCTCCCTTCCTACTGCTCTGTGGGGCCTGTGACTTTCTTCTCGGGGCTACACAGTATCTATAAGCATCGCCTCTGTGGGCCAACCCAGCATCCTTGCCCCAAACCTTTCCTCCTTGTCCATCCTAGCTGTGCCCCCTTAAAAGACTGTTGGAAGTCCTAACCCCAGTACCTGTGGATATGGCCTTATTTGGAAATAAAGAAAACCAGCCTGGGCAACATAGTGAGACTCTGTCTTGAAAAAAAAAAAAGTTGAAGGACACCTGGCCACGCACCGTTACCCCTGTGGGAGGAAGGGAAGGCCTGTGTGATATGGGCTTGCTGCTTTCCCTTGTTAAAACCATCCCAACTCAGATACACATCCAAGGGGGAGGCCCCATCCAAGGCAGGGAGGCAGCATGAGGGGGGCTTTGACTTTTTTTTTTCTCTCTCTCTCTCCCTCTTCTCCCCCCGCCCCACCTGCCAACACACTTTCCCGTAATCTTCCAACAGACCTGCCCTTCTATGTGTTTGGCCAAGTGCTGGTCACATGCCCACCTCACAGCCATCACTAGCAAGAGGGACCCAAATAACCTTGACTGACTAAGGGCCAGCCGGGGGACAACCTCGTCTGCTCTGAGCCCAGGACGTATTTTCAAGAAGGGGAAGGAAGGCACAAAGGACGCATGGGCTGCCCGCCCACCCAAACAGGTCCCCAGGCTGGCCCAGCCCTGGTTGCGTTCCTGAGTTCCACAGCATGCTCCTCCACGCACTGGGCTCCGTGTTAATGTTCAGTGAGAAATCAAAGTATAAAGGAATTCTCTCTGCTAGCCAATCTACCCGGGAAGCTGAACTTCACCAAGAAAGCAGTTTGGAAAGCATGCTCCCAAAGCAGGTGAGACACACCCACCTCCCCAGCAGGCACCAGCCACTGCGTGGGCCTGAGTCCCAGAAGGCAGGAGGCAAGAGAGCCCACGGTTGCACCCCAGCTGTCTTCGCATGAGGTCCCATGGCTGACCCACCTCCTCCTGGTTGCTTTTTGTTCTTTACCAGTAATGTTGATACGGTTTGACTCCAGGATAAGCTGGGCTTCCCAGAACCCCTCGTGTCTCTAGGCTGCCTGCAGAAGAGAGGAGTAGAGAGCAAATGGACGGACACAGTCCTCTGCTCTAAGACAAGTCATTGTTTTAGGATCAAGATACAGAAACAACAACCAAGGAGGACTGTGGCTGTTGACACCAAGGGCAGACCAAGGTCATACTAAACCCTGAAGCTGCCACTCTGCAGACCTCTCTGGGGCTCCACCATTACCCTGTGTGTGGCTGTCCTGGGGCTGCCCTAACAAAGTTCCACACACCAGGGGCCTTAAAACATCAGATACGTGCCCTCTCACGGTCTGGAGGCCAGAAATCCAATATCAAGGGGTGAGCAGGGCTCTGTTCCTCATGGCGCTCTAGGGGAGGGGTGGTGCCTTTGTTGCCTCTTCCGGGTCCTGGTAGCTCCTAATGGTTCCTGGTGGCCCTGGTGGTTCCCAGCAGCCCGTGGCTGGCAGCCACATCACTCCCATCTCCGCGTCCATCATCACATGGCCTTCTTCCCTCCGTGTCCGCGTGTCTTCACATTCTGTTCTCCTCCCAGTGTGTCTGTGTCCAAGTTAACCTCTTCTTATAAGGACCCCAGTTATTGGATTAAAGCTCACCCAATCCATGATGACCTCATCTTAACTAGTTATTTTCTGCAAAGACGCTAGTTTCAAATAAGGTCACATTCGCAGATACCGAGGGTGACGATGTCAACATATCTTCTGGGGAGGATGCAAATTAAAGGACAAATCTGTACCTGTTTTACCAACCCTGTGCCTGGAACCACCAGGCCACGTGTTAGATACAGAGAGAGGCTCTGACTGGCCTCATTCACCCTTGCCCATTGGACAGCTCGCTCCTGTCTGCACGTTATCATAGGCACCATCCGCGCTCTCCCTTTTTCCGGGAGTGCTTGTCCCCTCCCAGGCTTCCTTTGTCTGTGTATGGGTTTTGCCATTGTCCTGCAAGCTCTGAACACCCCTTTCCCCGCCAGTTTTTGTTAATTCATTGGGGCTATCTCATGCTGCCTGGCTTGGCTTCTTATAGCCAGCTTTTTAAAAGAAATCAAAACTGGTACACCAAGGGTTGATGTGGTGCGAAGAAACTAAGTCTTTTTTTTCCATAAGCAAGTAAATTGGGAATTAAATTAGGTCCAAAATTCATCTGAGGCTTCTGAGAACTTGTTTGCAGAAAGTAATTGCTCTGGGGCTGGCAACTTGAGTAATCAAAGAGAAGCTAAAGAAAAACAGAAAATTGCAAAAAAAAAAAAAAAGGGGGGGGGAATAAATTTGAACCAAGTTTTTTTTCCAACATTTTATTATGAAAAATTTTAAACATTCAACAAAGCTAAAAGAATTTCTGCAGTGAACACCTGAATACCACCTAAAGTCAACTACTAACGTGTGACTCTGCTTGCTTTCTGCTATCTCTGACTCAGGGGATCTGGCATGGCACATGTCACAAGACACTGCCAGGAAAAGAGGGCTCCAGGCCCCCACTGAGATGGGCCAATGTCTCCAAAGCAAAGTGTCCTCAAAGAACCTGTGTTATCAACATTCAAAGCCCTTTAAGAAGCCAGCATTATCATCAGATTCCTTGTGGAAATATTCATTTTTCCCTGCCAATAACACCAATGGCCAAAATTTGTTTCAAAAATTATTGCACCAGCTGGATGCGGTGGCTCATGCCCGTAATCCCAGCATTTTGGGAGGCAGGTGGATCACTTGAGGTCGGGAGTTCAAGACCAGCCTGCCCAACGTGGTGAAATCCCGTTGCTACCAAAAAAAATACAAAAATTAGCCAGGTGTAGTGGTGCATGCCTGCATAATCTCAGCTACCTGGGAGGCTGAGGTGGAAAAATCAGTTGAATCCAGGAGGCGGAGGTTGCAGTGAGCCAAGATCGTGACACTGCATTCCAGTCTGAGCAGCAGAGTGAGCCCGTCTCAAAAAAAAAAAAAAAAAAAAAAAAACTCCAAAAAATTGTGGCATGTTTCTTTTTTGTCAGTTTTGTCTCACGACTAGTGTGGCAAAATTTGGCTACCTACTACGTAGCTGTTTATTTTTTATTTTTTTGGAGGAATTAACAGTCTATTGGGCTCAGACCAGGAGTCCGCGGGTCTCGAGGCCCTCTGTATATTTGTCAATTTTCTTCTCCACGTTCTTCTCGGCCTGTTTCCAAAGCCTCCTGAGCTGTTTCTTCTTCCGGTCGTGGATCTTGGCTTTCTCCTTCCTCTTCTCCTCCAGGGTGGCTGTCACTGCCTGGTACTTCCAGCCAACCTCGTGAGCCAGGCACCCCAGATAAGCAAACTTCCTTGTAGGGTTCAGACGCACAACCTCGAGGGCGGCAGGAATCACCCTCCGCTTTTTCTTGTAGGACGGTGGGATGCCGTCAAACGCCTTGAGGCGGTCCAGGACAGTGTGACCTTGCTCGATCTTGAGAGGCAGCACACCGCCCACGGTCCACCGGAAGATGCGGCCGGGGGCCCGGAAGTGGTGGGGCACCCGGAAGTGGTGGGATGCCCGGAAGTGGTAGAGGCTTCTGGAAAAGTTGGTGTTCACCGGCTTGCAGAGGAAAGCCAGGTACTTCAATTTGTTTCTGTAGAAATTGCCAGAAAGGTTGATGCCTTTACAGCGTAGGACCAACACCTTCTGGCCCAGTAGTACCTGCTTAGCCACGACGGCCGCCAGGCGGCCCAGGAGTTGGCCGTGACCATCCAGCACCAGGACCCGTCCCTCTGCCATCTTCGGCAGCTGCCCCGGGAAAGCAGGTATCTGTTTATTAAGGTGTGCACTCGGTTTAAATATTCTCGCAACTGCATTATCCTGTAGACAATGGAGCGCTGTCTCGGGAGTTAAACGTTGAGCTGCCAGGTGTGCCTTTTAGAAAGAGCCCAGAGGAGGTAGTAAAGCCCTGGGGTTGGAGTGAAGGAGGTCTGGTTGGAACCCACAGCTCTAACAGCAGAGTGGACACATAATTTGCCGGGCCCAGTACAAAATGGAAATGCATGGTTGGTTGGTTGGTTTGCTTGTTTGTTTGTTTGTCTGTTTATTTTGAGACTGAGTCTCACTCTGTAGCCCAGGCTGGAGTGCAGTGGTGTGATCGTGCAACCTCAGCCTCCTGGGTTCAAATGATTCTTCTGCCTCAGCCTCCCAAGTAGTTGGGAATTACAGGTACCTGCCATCATGCCCAGCTAATTTTTGTAGTTTTAGTAGAGATGGGGGTTTCACCATGCTGGCCAGGCTGGTCTCAATTTTCTGACCTTGTGATCTGCCTGCCTCGGCCTCCCAAAGTGCTGGGATTACAGGCAGGAGCAACCGTGCCCGGCCAAGAAATGCAAGGTATTGTGTTAAAAAAAAAAAAAAAAAATTTCAAGATGTCAACAGCAGAACATTAAACTGAGCACAGGGCCCTGTGCCTAGGTCGCAGGCACCTGAAGCCAGCCCTGCTTTCCAGCTTCACTGCTCATGATCTTGGGAAAGCCATCTGACCACCACAAGCCTCCTGGCTCTCGTTTCTGAGAAAGGAATAGCAGCAATTATCTCCAAGTTTGTGTGCAGATTGCGGTAAGATTGTGAACGTGCCATGCTTAGGGTGGAGCTTAAACACTCATTTATTGGGTGAAAGGAATAATGGAGAAGAGAGGAAGGGAAGTCCATTGACTGTTCAATGCGAGTGGAAGCCCCATCTCAAACCAGAAACAGCAAAAGCCAGGATGAAGGCTACCCACGTGGTATTGTGTCCTGCCCTGCTCAAGAGTGGTGCCCAGAGCTCCATCAGTGGCCAGCAGAGGGCAGCGTTGTGTAAGTAAAGCCCCAGGATTTGGGCAAGTCCCCAAACCCAGAGGACAACTTTGCTAGAAGGTCTGGCAGGAAGCCTGCATAATTTACTCCTAATTCTCAAAACTAAAGCAAACAATGCCCCAAGAAATGATACCTAAGAGGCACATGACCTGCATGCAAATAAAGAGGCAGCATGAAGTAATTGCTTTGGAGGACGATATAAATTCCCGCTCAGCCCTGCCCAGCTCCCAGGATGAGAAGCTTCAGACCCCTGTGACGTTTTCCCAAGGCTGGAAAGAAGGATGTTTTGTAGGCACTTTCCTGTGCCGTATTTCATTCGATTTTCCCAATAACCTGAAAGGTGGGCAATTTGTATATATTGTTTCATTTCTCAATGGAAGAGTAAATAAAAGTCCGCGAGCGGTTTCTGAGATGTGCTGGCCTCCCTTCCACCCCAGGACCTTTGCCTATGCCATTGCTTTTGGCAGAAATGCCATCCTCCCACCGCACCCCTCCCTCACTTGGCGAACACCTCCAGGTACGTCCATCTCCGCTCAGACATCACGTCCTCAGAGAGCTCTGCTCAAATCCTGCACACCTGGCCTGGTGCTCCGGTTTCTTCTCTCATACCACGTTGTTCTTTTCAGAGCTTTTATCATCGTGGTATGTGTATCTGTGTGCCTCTTTGTCTTTCTCTCTAGCCTGTAAGCACCAAGAAGGCCTGAACTGTTTGTTATTCCTTTATATCCTGGATATTGCCTGGCACACCCTTCCAATATTTATTTGTTGAATGAACTTTCCCAAGGTCGCACAGCTGGTCAGAGGCAGATCTGACATTCCACGTGGATTCTCTGACCAGCTCATCAGTCGACGTCTCACTTTTATCTTGTTGCCAAATAAGAGCAAGTGTTGAAAATTGGGGGTTTTATTTTTTTAGTCCTCCTACACAAAGGGGCCTTGGGGATTTATATACCAACACCTGTCAGTCACGGTTGGGGACTCCTGGGGTGGAGGAGTGGTGGTGCTAATTCCCTGGAATGGGTGATAGTGTGAATTCCAGCAGCAGCAGAAAGCTCTTGAACAAAGAAGCGCAGCTGCTGGTGGTCAGATGTCAGGGCAGAGTTTACAGAAGTGATAAAGGCAGGGGACATGGGAAGGTTAACCCCCAAAAATGTGTGGAAGTCCTGACTGCCGACGTCAGTGAATGTGATCTTATTTGGAAACAGGTTCTTTGCAGATGTAATCAAGTGGAGATTAGGTCATACTGAATTAGGGTGTGCACCAAATCTAATGCCTAGGGTCCTCTAAGAAGGTAATTTTCACAGATAGGAAACACCAGGGAGAAGGCCACGTGATGATGGAGGCAGAGCGTGGAGTGACGCAGCTGGGAGCCAGGAACCATCAGGAGCTGCAGGGGCAGGAAGAGTCCTCCCAGGAGCGTGGATTTGCAAACACCTTAATTTTGGACTTCTCCCCTCCAGAACTGTGAGAGGGTAAATGTCTGCTGTTTAAGCCCCTCAGTCTGGGGTATTTTTATTGCCGTGGCCCCAGGAAATTAATGCGGGACCCTACAGTGCCGCAACGGTGAACGGGGAGCTTCGTGCCAGTGACTGGGACTACCACAGCGTGCATGCGGCTTGGAAAACTCAGAACAGCGTCACACCATTTGTAATTGGCACGCCAGCTTTCTGTGCTGTGGTATCTGCTCCTCGAGGCTATGTAGTGAGTTTCTCTCCTCTTCTTCGATCAGCAATTCCCCTACCCCCAGCTTTGCAGGGCGTCCCTTCACCCAGGGCACTCCTGCCCTATCCATGCTAGCAGCAGAGGGTGTGCAGTGTTGGGAGCCATGCGAGGCAGTCCCAGGATGGCGTTGCTGTCTGAGAAACACTGCAGAAGTCTTTATTTTAGTTTTCCGCTGCTGTGAAGAGGCCACAGGGCCCAGCAATAGGGTCTTTCCCTGAGCCTTGCTGAACGCCTCGCTTTCCCAGGTGTGTCTGTGTTCAGGAACCTGCAGCCCTTCTGACTCACCTCAGATTCTACTTGATGAAAGCTTACCCTAAACTACTCCAAGCCAGATCCTCCTTGGAAGATCAGAGAGTAGAGAAGCCGATGGCAAGGTAGAGGGTGGGTGAGTCGAAACAGGTCAAGGGTTTATCATTTTCATGGTCCAATTGCATTGAGGGAGAGACCCTCAGAATACTTAGTCCTGGCTAAGACTCAGAGAGAAGGGAGCTGAGACCTTGGTCTTGAAGATGAGGGAGAGGTCAGAGGATCAGCTGGGTGACAGAGCTACACTTTGAACAGCCTGTCCCCTGGGACTGGCGTGAAGGCCTCTGGGACCTGAGCCATCCTGCACAGACCACTGTCCTCCCCACTCCTCGGCCCTGTGACCAGTGAGGGCACAAGCCTGGGAAAGAAGGTGCTCTGCACTTGTCTGTTAGGGGATGATGGAGCTGCACCAGGCCCTGGACAGGCACTGGGCCCTGACACCAGCGAGGGAATAGGGGCTCAGTCCTCACTAAAGCAAGGCCACACATAGCAAGCACAGCCATCCCCTCCGACCTGCCGCGTCAAATTGCGTGTCCGCATAAGGAATCCTGGTAGATTCTTATTTATTATTTTTGAGACAGTTTTGCTCTTGTCATCCAGGCTGAATGCAATAGTGCAATCTCACTGCAACCTCCGCCTCCTGTCTCAGCCTCCTGAGTGGCTGGGTTTACAGGCATGCACCACCACACCTGGCTCATTTTGTATTTTTAGTAGACATGGGGTTCCACCATGTTGGCCAGGCTGGTCTCGAACTCCAGACCACAAGTGATCTCTCCTCCTCTTCCTCCCAAAGTAAAGGCATTACAGGCATGAGCCACCATGTCTGGCCCTTGGTAGATTTTTAGAGACGTTCATCTCTGTGTGATTCCAGAAGCTCTAGGAAGCCAACAGCAGCCTGGGAAGAGGGAGAGCCTCCTCCTAACTAGCCCACAGCCAGAGGCTTAGAGAGTCGCTGGGGTGGCTGGGCCTGGATTATAGGGAACTGCGCACAGGGAGGCCGAGGTGCTGACCAGGCCTGAGTGACCTGCTCCCTGGCCCCCTCCCCGCTCCTCCCTCCATGCCCCTTCCTCTTTTGTTTGCCGTCCACTTTTTCAAGTAGAAAGCAGGCGTGCAGGTAAATCAGCACTGAAGGATGGCGTCACAGCGTCTGCCTACAGGGAGGCAGGGAGAAAGGCGATTTCATTTTATTTTGTACATTGCTTTATTGTTTGCGTTTTTGAACAGGCACATACATTCACATGTAATCTCTGTAATCAACTTTGTCTTCTGTTTTAATTCCCAACAGGCAGAACAGCCGTGTCCCACATTTTCCGTCATTTCCCCATGGTGACAGAGCTGCAGGCGTCCTGGGAGAGGGATGCTCACAAGTTCCCTGAACCAGTTCCCAGGGGTCCCAGGATGACAGAGACATTCGTATTCTAACGGTGAGTCTGTCAATTGCATTCTGCCCTGTGGCAGCCCGGCCAAGGGCATGGCATGCCAGAGCCAGGCGGGCAATTCAAGTCATGGTCATCAGGCTCAATAGCAGGCAGCGTGCTGGTTGCATTCGCGTGCCAGGTCCTGGCTCCCCTGTTGTGTGGACAGGAGGACAGTGGGTGGAGCGTCAGCCACACACTCTTGCCAGGGGCGTGGCCTTGTGACTTAGTTGGGCCAAAGGGCTGTGAGCCGAGATGACAGAGCCGGCCCCATCCTGGGTCCCTGCCTGAGGCACTGGAGCCGAACATCCCAGCCATGAGCATGTGGTAGGGCCGAGGGGCTGTGTCCAGCCAGTGATGCTTGTCGAGGGCGCCTCCGTTTCATGTCTCGTCATTTTAGGGACAGGATATCATTATAGCAAAAGCCTGACTCCATACAGCTGAGAAGTCACCTTGGCTAATGGAAAAGGTGAACTAGGGCTGTCTCCCACGTGGCAC